TATATCATTCTTTTATGTATGAATATGCAAATCTAAACAATTTGCAAACATCCTTACTTAACTATAATTATTACATCACAAAATTAATATTAATTTAATTATAAAATCTTCTCGTTAGTCCATATTCAGATTTTCCTTATTATCCAAAAAATTGTCTCTTGTACAATGTGTTGGTTTAAATCTGAATCCAAACATTACATTCTGTTTTGTTTCTTACATACCTTTTAATATAGTGACATTTCCAATGTCATTCTCTTTTCATGTCATTTATTTTCTGAAAAAGCAGGTTAATTTATTAGAGTAATTCACCTTGTTCATTTGTGTGTTTTTCATCATTTATGTCAGTGGAGTGAATGGAAGGTGAGATTATAAACTCAGATGAAAAGAATCTCTGGTGGACATAAATATGGAAGTGATAAAGTTATTTCTCTCTCATCTTCTAGAGGAAAAATAAAGAAACAGCCAAATATTTTAAGGTGAAAGCTGTCTTAAGGTTTTGAAATCTATACTGCATATTTGGAAACTTTTTAAAATCCAAATAAAATTATTTGTTTAGATTTGATGATTGTAATGCAATCACAAACATACTTAAAATTTAATCTGAGTATCACACATAGAAATCAAGTGATTCATTAGTTGAAGATAAATTCTGGAATCAGTGAGCTTCGGGTATATTCAGCTGATTTACAAAGTATTTGATCTACAAATACATGTGTATATTTAAAATATCCATACATATACTATACACGTGCTAGATGTTTATTCACACATTTATAATTTTCTATTTCCTGTTTTACCTGAGACTACTATGCACAAACAGTTCTGACACTTACTCATTTGATTCCATCCTTTGTGGGAACATAATTGGTATGATAGCTTTTTTGTTGACTTTCTGCTTTGTACTGTCATAGTTTATATGCTAGACAATTGTCAAAATTTCTGATCAATGGTTTTTCTTTCTCTCCATCTTTTAGAGTTAATATTTAGTTCTATAAACATTAATTTAATGACGTGTGTTTCTGATAAGAGTACATATTTTCAGTCCACAATCAATGGACCAAACTATCTGTGAGTATGAACTCTCTTTACAATTCTTAAAATTCCTTTCTTACTTATTCCTTCTACCAGTATTCTATACTTGGCTGCTTGCTTAGTCAGGGAAGTAGAAGAGGGAAGGGGAAGGATAGACACCCTCAACATTAGTTGCTGTGCCCCAATAAAAGTCACTTACTACTTCACTTAGCATTTGGTTTACATTACCTATTGGTTATCATAAAGAGGTTGTTAAACTTCATTCATATATATATAACCAAACTCTGTGAGTAGCTGAAACACTAAGGGGAAATACACTGACCATTGGAATTCACTGGAACATCCTTGTGCATTCAGAGAAAAAGTTAACAGCAAATAAAAGCAGCAACAGAGGACTGGCATTTTGCTTCATCTGCAATGGTTCAAGAAAGACAAACCTATAAACAGCAGCCTGGACCTCCCCAGCTGAGAGAGTAGATGTCTTAGTACTAAAGCCCCAAGTGACAGACAGGTGGTGGTGGTGGCAGTGTGTCCCTGACAACACATTTGGGAGCTGTTTCCATATAGCTATCCATATATCTATCCCTCCAATAGTAGCATTAATAAAATCAACAGCAATGCTTTCTATTGTCTTAACTGGATAAGAACCAAGCCACCCAAGAATGCTATAAAATGAGGCATTGGAAGTGAAGGGCTGAAATTAAATGCAGGTGTTCTGGCCACTGTCTCATGCTATTCTTTTAAAATACATTGCAGGCTTGGCTTCTTCATAAAACACTGTACACAGCACATTATGAGGGCCAGATAGCTCTCTCTGATCCAACAGAAATGACAAGAAAAATTGTGAATCATAAGTAAACTTCTGAAATGACATGCCCTTTAGCATAAGCAAATCTATCACAAAATACATTTTCACATATGTAGACATTGCTGCCGCTGCATAATTTTTGTCAAAAGTTAACATCCAGATGTAAAGTTTTAAATTATAGAGAAAAAATATTTATAGCTATTGTATCTTAATTCTTCATACTACCAATTAAGAAATTTTGCCCTAAAGTATGAATGTTTCTCTGGATTCTCTACAAATCATCATTAACAGGATAATAGAGCAGAAAAATTAGTAAGGAGTTCATTTCATTTTTTTCCCCCTAAAGGCTGGCATTAGTGAGAAAATTTATCTGCACTTCAATTCCAACGCATTGTGAATGATAAATTAACTCTACCAAATAAAGGACATGACATTGCTCTGCCTTAGATTTCTATTTTCTTTCATCAGAATATTCTACCTAGCAAAGTTCATATAGCTTAATGCTCATCCACATATAAGGAGTAGAGAAATGAACCCCAAGTCAGTGAAGAACCCAAGTTCAGAGCACCACTCAAAATAAGCAAAAAAAAAAAAAAAAGTCTGAGACACACAAGGCCAGCCAGAAAGTGGCCCTGTCATTTTGGTTTCTATCAGGTTTGTCTGCTCCTGCACACAGCACAGCTATTTTACATTGCTTTCATCACCAGATTCCATGGCTGCAGGACCAGAGACAGTGAAAAGATATTTGCCCAGAAGCTGAAAGCTGAATGCTAGAGGAAAAAACATTAACCCTTCACCACTTCCTTCCAGCTCATTCTGCACTCTCTTATGTATTATTTGAAGAATAGTCTCCTTATTCAGACGACCTCCTGAATTGTCCTGTATAGCAATGGCTACAACCCTGATGGGTGACAAATGTTGAATTGATACTGCTAAGGGGAGTGCTTGAATCAGAAAAAAACAAAACAAAAAACTTGCATTCTTTTATAGTTGCCCTGAGAAAAGTCGATTTATTGTTACTGGTTACTTTTTGAACTTGACAAACATGGTGACTAAATCCCTATTTTATGTTAGACATGAATACAATGGTTAAGAACAAAGTGAGAAACACCAAATTTACAAGAGAGAAAATATGAGACATATTGACCCTTAGAGTTCAAGCAGTATAAAGTGGGAAACACTGTAGGAAAAATGTTTACAATTCGATTTTTCACTATTATCTGACTAGGGGTCAGATAAGCAATAATGTTAGTATTAAGCATACTAGCATTAGGAATAAATCTTATTTTGGACAATAGAGCAAATGCTACCACTCATTTGCTAGTATTAGAAATGATGCAAAGAAATCTTTAGTTATTTATATTTTAAAGAATTAAAGTAGCAAAACATTTATTCTAAGAAAATCAATGAAGATAGGTCATTCTCATTTATGATATGAGTAATAAGCATACAATAGAAATATAAGGCACAAAGAGTAAAAATTTGCATCTCGGTGATTTTGCATCTGTGGTGATTACTGAAACATTTAGCTAATAAAAAGAAAGACCTTGCTATAAGATGACATAAGAATGTTACTTACACACACAAAAAAAATCTACTACAGTGAAAAGTATTAGGCTGTAGAATGATCTATGAATGCCATCCATGCTGTGCCAAAAAAGAATAACTACATTCTATTTTAATGCTTAGTATTTTATTTGTTTGCCTGTATTTTTATATTTCCTACTTAGCAATATACATTGGTTGCTGTTCTTGGTATGTCTGTGTGTTGGGGGCAATTGACAAGGACAATTAACTTACACTAAATTGCTAAAATCTCACTTTAGACTGTGAAATCTAAAAAATATATTAGAAAAGTCAATCAATATAATGAAAATAGAGCTATAATTACTCCAATCTTTTTAACTTTGCCACAGAGGTCACAATGAAAAGAACATGAGTTCTAGAGGATAAGTAATTTCTTGTGATTAAAAAAAATCCTTGATAAGGCATAGCATAGGTTTTCATTCATAACAAATGCAGAGGTGAGGAATTATAAGCCAAAGCAGGAAACATCATGGTTGTTATTAGTAACCTGTACAGGACACGGAGCCTGGCAGTGCTAGGATATTAACACATCCCTGCAACGGTAAGAGCACCATGATGTGTTTTCCAGGGTGCACCATTATCACCTGTTACTATCGAGTCTTTCAGGAAATTACACTTGGTAGTTAAAGTAAAAAACAAATTTTAAACCTAGATATCCAAGGCTTTACTTGAAAAAGTTTAAGGTGATAGTTAATACAAAGGTTTAGCTGCAAAAGTAAGTCCATTACTTACTTGTCAATTAGTGAGGGAGTTTCAAGGAAAAACTTTCAAGAAGTACTCCTTAGGAATTATGAATAATCAGGCTAAATACAAACAAACAGGAAAAAAAAAAACCACCCAAGATGGTATTAATAAAAAAGGGAAAAATTTGTTCTTTAAAAAAGTGTTATCTTTTTTCTCACAAGAGCATCATAAATTCTCAGGTATGATGAATTGCATACCAATGATGAGAGCCCTCTGGCCTACTACTTAATAAGTGGAGGGACAGCTTCATGAAGAGTCTTCCACTGAACTGAGGCAGTTAATTCAGCTTCTCAAAGTGCTCAGACTTAGAACAGTAGCTTAGATATTTGAATTGATAAATATAATTTTAAGTTACAAAATATATCCAAATAAAACTCTTATTTCCCTCCTAGTCCATTATGCCATGTGAATACACGTGGGGAAGGTATCAGCTGAGATAAGGCATGTAAGTATTCTCTCTAAATCAATCACTCTAATAGTACAGCAAAAAAAAAAAAAAAATCAGCAAAGGCAATTTTATAATTTTTTTATTGATTAAAAGTAAAAGACATTTTCTGAAATGATACAATTACCATTTCAGGTCTTCAGAAAGACTGAGCTATCACCATCCACCAAAATAGCATGTGAACAGAAAATTACAAGATAAAACTTAATGCAAAACAAGACAAGGGTGAGTTTATAGATAAAGGCTTTTATATTACCTTTGATACTTTTTTTTTTTTTTCAGTACTGGGGCTTAAAATCAGTACCTTGAGCCACTTCACCAGCCCTTTTTTGTGATGACTTTTTTCAAGATAGGTTCTAACAAACTATTTTCCCAGGCTATCTTTGAACATCGATCCTCCTGATCTCTGCCTCCTGAATAGCTAGGATTATAGGCATGAGCCATCAGCACCCAGCTTACAATTCTTAATTTTATTTTATTAACACACATTTATTACAGTATTCCTAGACATGATTTGTAAAAACAGAGAAATGAACTTGATACTTTATAATCTAGATGAATAGATCTTAGAACAAATAAGGCCACCAAATATCCATCTTAAAAAATACAGTATACATTTAACAGCAATAATCATACATGATGAATAACTCAAATTTGAAATTAAAGGGATCAATTTGCCAGAAAAGTAAAATGTTTTAAAGACGTTATATATTATACTCCATTTGAGAACCTTAGCTCAAAGATGGCTGAAAATATGAATTGGTAAAGTTTTACACATACTCTCACCCCTCTACTTAAAGCACAGTATGATATATTTGCATGTACCAGTATTGAATTTTACTCTGATGTTTTGGTTAGACAGCTGTATTTGGAAAAGCTTCCATATTATAAACTCTGCGACACCAAAAACCAGCAAACAAAATACACATCTGCATGTGGCAGCCTAAGACCAGCTCTCTTCAGTTTGGCAGATCCACATTCTGAAGGATGAGGGCCACTCGGCTTGGAATGTAGACCTAGGTGAACACAAGCATGTTAGTGCAGCAGAAAGAAATACTGAACATGCTGCTGTTATGTCAAATACATAGACATGATACAGCCTTACATTTGACCAAAGTTACAGCTATTTTTATAATTCCGCCAGTTCTGAGAAGGCTTGAGTTTGCAGTTCACTAGTTGTCAGCAACTTCAGACTATTTTAAAGAAATTACCACTAGAGGGCTCCATACTATTTACCAAAACCAAGATTCATCACACAGAACATAAATGGCACTGGACTGCAGAATTTAAGCACTATAAGGTGGTGATATAAATACACTATATGAAGCATTGCTTTATGTGAAGACATTTTATAATCCTACTTTTTTCTTTTCATTTTAAAAACAAAAGCTGAAATGTAACATGAAGGATCCAAAGTACATTTCAGGTGCCTTCCTAACCAAAAACCTTTCCATTCCCCTTTAAACAGATTGCAACTCTTTTCCCACTTCACACTCTTCTTCTTGCCTGTCTGCCCTCTCAGCTTACCCCCTCACGTGCCTCTTCTTCCTTCATCAACTAGGCTCCAGCTACAGGAGACTTTCAGGTTCTTGAACATGTCAAACTTTCCTTCTTCTGAATCTTTGCTTATAATTTTCTGCTCCAAATACTCTTTGCCTGGCTTGTCCCTTTATCTCCTAGATCTCCAAAAATCCCAGCACCATGGAGAAGTTTTCCATGATAACCCTAGATTTCAAAGGTTCTTCATTCCATTTTTAATCTTAGCCCCTTTTTGCTTCTTTCTGAACCCTTCATACAATTTGTGATACTTTTCAAGCTTACTATCTATCTTTCCCACTAAACTGTCAGATTTACAAAGGTGGAGGGGATATATGTCTTTTGATTTCTCATACTTAGTATGTGCTTTGAAAAAGGCAGGTGCTAATGTTGAGTGGATAAAAGAATGTATAGTGAACAAGGCAACAACAGTGTATCAATATGTGCATATTTCAAAAAATTCTCTAATGAAATAATTTGTATAAAATATAGAAGTAATTTGAACTGCTTGATGCTTACCTTTGTGTTATTCTATATATGTTATATTTAAATATTAAAAAGGTATCCAGTAAAATAATATTATAGATTGTTGTCATCATTGTGATAATTTCTCTCCATTTCTGACTGCTTATATTTTACCATATTCAGTCACTTTATCTCTAAGTGAAAGCTTGACTTACGGCTAAAACAGAAAAATACCTGTAACAGTTTAGAAGTAGAATAAAAAGTGCAAAGCAACATGGCTATGGGAAGAAAGTTAAAAATAAAAGAATTCAATGGCAGATTTTCACTGAGAGTTGGATGTCCAACACATTTAAACTCTGCAAATGAGCACAATGTTTTCCCCTAAGTTTTCTGTAATACAGAATTCTTACTACACTTAAAAAAAGTCAGACACATAGTAGATGTTAGGAGATCCTAAGTTTAACAAAAGGAAGCTGGTGGCATCTTAAGCAAAGCAGGACAATTACCAATGACCTAGACAGTCAAGGGATGATATTGTTCCACAACCAAGCTACAGACACAGTAAACACAGATCAAAGGAGGAAATATATAAGAAACCAACATTCTGATTCAACCCATTCCCTCAAAATAGGCACAAATTAAGGCAGAGATCTATCCTTCCAAAGGACAAATTTCTAAAGGAATTTCCCAGGCATGTAGTAAGAGGCCTAGTTTATGTACTTAGGTTTAAGAATCACAGCTACTGGGTTTACCTGATCAGTGGGATAGCAGGTTATAAACAGAATACTTCTGAATTGTTCTGCCATGAGCAATCTAAAAGCAGGCCAGGCATGGTGGCTCCATGCCTGTAATTCCAGCTACTTAGGAGGCAAAGATCAAGAGGATCATGGTTCTAGGCCAGCTAAAGAGAAAAAACATCTCTCAGAGCCCACTTCAATCAATAATAATAAATGGCCTAGTGTCACCTGCTTGTGATCCAGGTAGGAGGATCACAGTCCGAGGCTGGCCTTGGGGAAAAACAGGAAACCCCACCTAAAAGTCTCCTGATAAAGTTGCAATGAAACACATTAACCAGGCTTAGGACAAACAATGACAGGCCTTTCTCAATGTGTGGCATGGTATGTGTCAGGACAAGTCCAGGCCATCTCTTAGTTGTATCCTATGCAATTATGGCATCTACTGTTTGACTCATGTTCTCATAATGATTTCATTAACAGAATATAAATAATAAGTAAGTGTATACTGATAATTTATAAACACTCTTACTCTCTTTAGAACTTTTGATATTTTGGCCAGCTGAAATTTAAGAGTCAAAAAGGATGCCATAAGAAGTTTCAGTTTGCAATATATGCACCACACTTTCTATTTTGGCATTTAGTGGTTAAAAAACACTCCATAAACACTCACTAAATGCTGCTGGTCACTTTATGAAAAGAGCTTTATGATGCCAATTCCAGTCACATTTAGAGACCTCTTAATACTATCTGTTCAGTTGGTAATTGTATATCATTAGCAGGAATATTGCATAATTATATTTTGTCACTGAGGTGATACCTACTAGAATGTATATATGTTGCTCTAGGGTCTTTGTGGTATAAGCAACATGAAAAAATTTCCCCAAGCAAGTGATTTTTTTCTTATTTATGACTACTTGTGAAATTTTGAGTTTTATACTTCATCAGGTTCCTTAGTACAAAATTCAGTTTTAAAGGGACTGAAGATAATCAGAACTAATTCTTATGATTAGATGGTTACAAAGTTGAACAATTTGGGGTTCCAAAAATTTAGTGCTAAGTATTGGCTCTGTAACGCTCATTTTATAGTTCTAATCCACAATGTTCTTGAATTACTTAGCAAGAGAAAAGAAACATGGACAAAGATATATTTAAAGAGAAATGTTCAAGTATATTTAAATGTGAACAATCTGCATTTAGTATACACAAATAGAAACCATGTAGTATGAAGGTTACAGACAATACATGCAGGTAAACATATCTCCCATGCCCATTTTTTGGCTTTCTGACCTAAACATTTTGTGGCTAGAATCACAAACAAGACAGTATAATGCTTGTCTATGAGTTTCACTTTTTCTAGCTATATTCGGAGTCAATTTGTTTGAAGGAAGCCGAATAGCATAATATAATCCAATCCATTTATTAAAAGTCAAATGTATGCTTATCTATGTAGTTATTTTGACTACTTTAATGACTTATTTAGTACAATACCTGGCTAAAAAAGCAAATGATCACACAGTGATGTATTAAGTCAGGCAAAGTATTAATTTTCTCTAGAATCATAATAAAGTTGCAAAAACTAACTAGTGACATAATTTTTGAAAACAAAGTATCAAACATTTGCAAAGAGAAAATTTTAAAATAAAAATGGTTTAATACCACAAAGCCTAATTTTAAAATTTTCTTAAAAATGATAAAATTATCAGTAGTGCATATAGATATGATATTGGTAGACTGAAAACATCATTCAATGAAAAATGCATCAGACCTTTTAACATACATATACACATACTTTTCCTTTAAAAACTAACATTTAAGGTAATTTTAGTCTTCATCTGAACTTTATGAACTTTAGTTCATAACATACATGATTTAGTTCACAGAAAAAAATGTTATTCTAATTCCTTTTGTATTAAGTTTAAGAAAAAGAGATGCTAATAATTATTTCTCTATAAAAGTGTGTATTATCTAATTTAGAAACTTGAGAAAAAGTAAACTTTAAGGATTGAGAATTTTTTCATAATTTCGTATCATTGTTATGAAATTATAAATATATCTATATATAACTATTATGAAACTATAAATTGTTATAAATTATTTTTATAATTTTGGATGCAGGCAAAACCATGTTCCACCTGGTTACAGTAGTTACAATTGAAGGACAATAAAAGATACATCATTGCCAAATTCCCTATTTGAACCACAATCTGTGAATCCCAAAATTTAGAATAGGAATAAACAGATGTGCTGTTTTTTGCAGGTTTTGATAAGGAGTCTGTGAAAATAATTAGTGCTAAACCTACTGCTGTATTCACATTTTTATCAGTCACACTGCTTCAGTTACTGTAAAGAAATATAACTCATTCGGGTATCAAAAATCTCTGTTCTTATTTGCGCCATGGAATTCTAAGCTATGAACCAGAGAAGAGAAAGGAAGTGTTCCTTACTCATGCAGTAATTGAAATATAGGCTCACAGGTAAGTTCAAACAGAGAAACGATTATGATACTTTTTGGCACTTGTGAGACCCTCTGACCCTCGCAAGCAGTTTCAGCAGAGGGACACACGCAGTTACCCCCGGTCTCACGGTTTCCACCGTGAGGGAGCACAGAAACAATGCCAGGGCTGTACCTGCTGATGCTGCAGCATGGACGGCTATTTTAAGATTCCTCTCCAGCTCTGTTTGTTGCTATCTTTGAAAACAGATTTTATACTTATTCAGCAGATCCTCTGGATTATTGAGCTTGCAAATTAAGCTTTAGCAAATGCTGTACACTAGCTATGATGGACAGAAATTTCATGGATGAAGGAAAAGTTATACTTTGTCTTCTCATTATTCTGGGAGTGGGGAGGCCAGTGCGATGTCACTGGTTCTGGTATGAGGCCTATAACACTTAAGGTCATGTTCAAGTGCCTTGACAGGATTCTAGCACATATGAATCAGTTTAATAAGGAGTTCTATTATGTTATAATAGACACATTTGTTCATGTGAATGTTTTTTTTTTTCTTTTCTGGCTCTTCACAGAGTAAATCTGACAAAAAGAAAACCTGTTTTCTTAGATATTTGGGTTCCTTTCTTCTGGCATTAAAAGAAAGTGATCATTTCACCTGGAGTCTAAAGACTTGTTGAAATCAGCATTTCCTGAGCTCCTGTAGTAGCAGAAAACAAGGGGCTGCTGCTTGAAAACACAGTGGACTCCTGTCTTCCTATGGAGTTCACACTCTCTATATGTGCTCATGTGTTGTATTCCTTTATGTAATACTGAGACTTAGGAGACATTCTTCCCTCCACCTGTTAATTTAGAAGTGCACATTCCATTCAATGCTTGCAAGATCGATTAGAGCTTGAAAAATAATCTCCTGGTTGCTGTTCCTAGGTCATTGTCTTGTTTTAGTTATAAGAGATTATGTTTGCTTCTGCAAAATCAAAGGGTTGCCAAGATATTTTCTGTTCAACATACCCTCCCCATTTTTAAACCTATGCCTCTGTTGTAGCTCAAAGTACAGATGTGCATCACTATGCCCACCTTGTTTTTTGGGAAGGGGTGTAGATAACTTTTGTTTGGGCTGACCTTCAACTGTGATCCTCCTGATCTCTGCCTCCTAAGAAGCTGGGATTTCAAGTGCGACCCCTTACTCTTGGCCTAATTAGTTTTTGTGTTTCTGGGGTTTGAATTCAAGGCCTTACACTCGCTAGGCAGGTGCTTTACCACTTGTGCCATACCCCCATCCTTCAACACAAAGATTCTGAGCCCTGATTATAATTTTCCCAAAGTTGAGAGAAGGTATTATTAATTATGTATCCATAAAGTACTTGTTTCTTGACATGTTTAAAATATTTGAATACGTGTTAAATAACCATGCCAACAATAACTTAAATACATTTTGCAGTTTACAAAGACCTTGGTCATTTTAATGAATTTATGCATCCTAAAAATTGCTTAGGGTTTGGGATATAGCTCAGTGGTTGAGTGCTTGCTTAGCATGCACAAGGCCCTGAGTTTAATCCAGAGCACTGTGAAAAAAAAAGAGAAAGTCTTACTGTATTGCTGTAGGGAGGATAGGAAAGATGCTACTATTGGTCCTCATTTTACAGCTGAGAGAAATTGAAGTGCAAAAATATTAAATGAGACAAGGTCTCAAAGTCAGTAAACAAGATGGGCAGTGCAGTGCAATTGATCTCAGGTCATGACATTTTGTGGTGTTTCACTTTAGCCACAGGCCCCTCCCTCTCCATAGCAAAACTCTGTTGGGATACATGAGTCATTAGGCAAGCTGGCAAGGCAAAAATTTTGCTGTATCTTTCAAACCTCTTTCCTCTGGTTAAAGTGATTAAAGTTCAGGTTTTTATGGTAGTACCAGGATTTGAACTCAGGGTCTTGCCCTTGCTTGGCAGGCACTCTACTATCTGAGCCACTCCACCAGACCTTTGTGATGGGATTTTTTTTTTTTTTTTTTTTTGACATACAGTCTTGTGAACTATTTGCCTGGGGCTGGCTCTGAACTGTGATCCTCCTGATCTCAGCCACCTGAGTAGCTAGGATTACAGATCTAAGTCACCAGTGTCCTGCCTACAGTTTAATCTTAATACAATCAGTTACTGTTTTTCAGGTTCCTCCATGTGAACTGAATCATCTCTTTTAATCATGAGGAATCTTTAACCCTTGCAGTTTTCTCAGGTAATTGTCTTAGTCACTTCTGAAACTATTTTAATTATTTTAAATGTTGAAATTAAATGCTCTTACAAACTGTAGCAATGACTCTTTCAAGAAGGAATCAGAAAGCATCTTTCAGCCCTGTCTTTTTTTTTTTAAATGTCTCTTTTTTTTATTTTATTTTTTTTATTATTCATATGTGCATACAAAGCTTGGGTCATTTCTCCCCCCTGCCCCCACCCCCTCAGCCCTATCTTAAAAATACATAGGCACTTCTCTCTGCATTTACCTAAAACCCTATCAGGCTGATCATCAATATAGGCCCATATATAGAAACATAGGTTTAAAGCAACACTGAATCTCCCCTGAACACTGCACTTTCCTCCCTACCAATAATAATCTGATAACTCAATCACCATAATCAATATTTTCATTTATTTCCTGGCACATCAGTTCTGAATATAGCCATTTACAAAATGAAGAATTAGAAGCACATTAAAAGTTAGGAAAGGAGTAGAAAGATGGCACTCAGGAACACCGTACAGATTCTCATGCTTAATTTATACTGAAGAATTTGAGAAGTGAGGTAATTTATCAAAATGAGAGCTTTAATAGCTGTAAGTCCATATATTTATTAGATAGTTCTTTGTGTCATGAATGTGAACCACACCTGAACCCAATACCTTCCATGGTTAAAAAAAAATACAGGTCTCAGGGACACAGGTCTCAGGGACGCAGGCCTATCACCCGACAGGAAAAGAAAGAAAAGTAAAACAATGTATGTGTGGTCTTCAGTCTATAATATGGCATAACGTAAATCAATAATTTTTCCAAATCTAAAAAAACAGACAACTTCTACATCTTTCAAGAAAGTTAAACCTAGTAGTTAAAAAGCATATTCTATTATCTATGTCAACACCACAATGTAAAAAAAGTTATGATATAAAACTTTCATCAGTAATATAAAGATACCAGAGAATTTTGTAACTAGAATTAACTCAACCTTTAATTTACCCAGAAAAGAAATATATTTTATTTGATGCCTTTAAGATGTTTTAAATAAAACTTCATTAGATAGTTAAAAATGCAGAAATCTGCTGAATGTAAAATATTACAGAGAAAGCAAGAGCAGTAAGGAAGTTGTTGCATAAAGAATAGAAATATTTATAATTGAAAAACTTGAAATAATTTTAATCTTATTAATACTCAGATTTCCCCAATTGTCCTCAAATATCCTTTATTGTTAGTTCAGTTTGGTCCAGCATCATACAATGTATCTGATTTTCCTATTCTCCTACTTTTATTTTATGTTGCTGTTTGGAGAGTTCTTTCCTTGAACAAAACCATCACTATAAAAATAAAGAATTAAATTAAAATAGATGAAAATATCTAAAGAGCCTTACTTACCAAAAGAGAATAGGGACGTCCATTATGTTCAAAAGCCTCAGAAAAGAAATCAGTTTTGTGGTCCAGTCTCTGGTGTCCTCCATATTCTGCTGCATCTGAATCCAGTACAATTTTGAATGTACAGCCCTTAAGGAATTCACAACGGTTCAGAAATTGAAGGACACATAAAATATGTTCTTAGATGGCAATTTAAGTGAGTATTCTGAACACTATTAAATCATGCTTTGTGCATTTCTTTTCTAATATTGCAGAGATTCTCATGTTTAAAAGGGGCTTTATGTTATCTAGTCCACATACCCATGAGATCCTTGTTATACTTCCATCACAGTTCATCAAGGGATCATCCAGCCCAGCACAGAGCGCTTCTATTAACAATGTATCTCTTTTTCTTTTCCACAACCCATTGCACTTGTTAGAGAGTCTCCATATTTGAGACACATTTGATTCCCTGGGACTGTTTCTTCCAAGAAAAGGCATACAGAGTAAGTTTGATATATAGTAACCTTTGAAATAACTAATGATACCCATACTAGTTCCATGCATTCTTCAAGTACATTATGGAATACATACTAAATATAATCCCAGGTCTTCTAATCATTTCTCCTTTGAAAGGGTTTTAAACTCTTTTCCCAACTCTGAATTCATTTTGGTTTCCCTAAATCTTGATTATCACAGTGAGGGACACAGAAGTAACCAAAGTGGGCATATGTGACCTGCAGAGTGCAGAGCTAAGTGACTTTACTCCCCTCCCCCCCAGCTCTAGATGCCACGGGGCTTATTAATGCAGTGCGACCAATGAAACACATAACCATCATGTCACAGGCAGACTCATGTGCCAATCATATGATCTGCCACAATTTAACATCCAACTTTCTTTTCTTTTCTTTTCTTTCCATTTGCATTGCTGGGAATGAAACCCAGGGTCCATGCATGCTAGGCAAATGCTCTATTCCTGAGCTGTTCCCCTAGCCCTAACGTGGTATTTCATAGTGTTATTAGCACTACTGTACTTAAAGAAAACCTAAAAACTATTGTTATTATGCTCAAAATCTCTAGAAATGGTACTCGATCAAAAATCCACAAGAAAATAAATATTGTACTCAGAAATCTTGGGGTTTTTCTGGCCTAACAAGGATGTTTTCTTTTCCTGGTATGTAAATATTTAATCTCAGAAATATTTGTATATTTTGATTATAGTAAAATTATCACAGTAATAGTATATGTGAGTAATGAACAAGGACCCATCGTTTTCATCCTTTGGAAACTTTGGTCTGGGTCAGGGATGCAGATGGAGACACCACAGGATATTTTCCTGAAAGCAGGGATTCCATCTTAGTCAATCCAGGTCAGCCTGCTTTGATTCAAATTGAGGCTGATAACCAGAATATTAGTGTGTTTAAAGAGATGAAGCGATAAACAATTTCAACTCAGCTAGTAGCCATAAGCACATTCAAAAGTCACTCAAGTGCAGTGTTGGTGGTATAATGGTGAGTCATAGCTGCCTTCCAAAAGTCACTCAATATTGATGAAAATGGTGGAATAGCACCTGTGAAGCCCTCAGTCAAACCTCAGTACTGCCAAAAATGATGAAAATGACTTAAGCTTACTAACATATATAATGATGAAATGTGGTGAACAAAAATAATTGTTGACATGGTAAATGAATGAAGCATTGCAGAATGAAAAGAAACTAAATACAAAGTTTAGCTAAATATTGGATAAAGCTTCAAAAAACAAAATGCAACACAATTTAGAGAATAATGTCCTAGAACAATTTTACAACTATTTGTCTAACATACCAATTGATAAGTTAATGGTTAACAGCATAGTGGCTAACAAGGCAGGCACATCTTTAAAAGCAGTAGAGCCCAGCCTGTGGATTGAGAGCCTCTGTGTGGTAGGTAGTTGTGTTATTACAAGGTTCTCACTGAGTGAGTAGTTATTGTAAGTGACAGGGAATCTACATATGCATTAAGCACTGTTTGAAGACTAAATTATGTTATCAAATACATATTTGATGCTATATTTAAAAAATGTACATGTTTTGGATTATTAAATTGTTGATACATTCTAAAAGTCACAGAATTCAATAGTATGTTTTTGACTATATATTTTCTCGATGAATGGCTACTGAAAGAACAATTGTTATATGTGGATCTTTTTTTTTTTTTTTGGCATGGAAAGGGATCATCAAATTGAAAATGGTTAGAATCTACTTACTTCATATATTTTAATATACAACTATAAAGGAAAAGCTTATGAAAAACAGAGTTTCAAAATATCAGTTTAGACACATTTTTCTGGTCTGTAATAAAAAAAATTCTGCTGTGTCCACTTTTGGAATTATACAGTTATATGGAAACAAAATAACTTCCTTTAGAAAATGCCACCCTTAAATTCAGAAATTTCAACCAAGTAAAACAGTAGGTTAAATGATAATGGATGAGAGTTATTATAGTTACTAGTGAACTGCGCTATATAATGTTCAATACCAGGAAACCCACTTTTTAGGAACATTGCTTATAATTAGAAAAAAAAAAAGCATTTTTTTTAAAGAGGTTGATTAACTGACTTTTATTTTGCATGTTCTCTCAAGTACTCCCTCAATCCCTCTCTCATGTGTGCCTGCACGCGCTCACACATGTGCATGTACACATACACATTCATCCACACAAACACATAGCATGAAATCTATACACCACCATAAAACTGACAACGTTGCCTCTTGCACTAAAGAAGGCATCTCGGAAAATATGATGCAGATATAGTTGTACTTTTTATTTTAAACTACTTCTTAATGTGGTGTTTAATTATACAGCACACAAAATTAATTTGTCAGAACACCTCAGCAGGCTGTCACTGTCCATAGCTACTTCCTTACACCTAGCACGATGCCTTCTTATAAGAAGTTCTCAATAAATCTTTGAAACTGATAATCAGTATGGGAACCCTGGTTCATCAAGAAAGGGGAAATGACTTATATTAATTTTTATATCAGAGGGAAGTATAATCAATTATCTCTACTACCCATTAAATTACTAAGTGCATACAAAGTACAGGCCCTGCTCCAGGTATGAAAATAACTACTCAGTTCGCATGTGACTTACAGCATGTGAGGATGAGACGTGTGTGAATGTCTGTTAGAGCAAAAGAGGCATGTAATGAGAGGGAGTGTCTAGGAGAAAAGACAGGTAGGATCATTAGTTTGTATATAAAGTTTTGCAGGCTGAATTAAGTTGTTAATACTTCTTTCGTTAGTTAAGTATAATGTTGAAAGTTCTTGGGAAAGGATATGACAAATCAAGAAAACTTATCCAGGACTGGGCATGGTGGCTCACACCTATAATTCTAGCTCTGCAGGAGGCAGAGATCAGGAGGACCAAGGTTTGAGGCAGTCTGGGCAAAAAGTTAGCAAGAACTCATCTCAACCAATAATCCATGGGTGATGGCATGTGTGTGTGGTCAGGTGTCTCACATAAGAGGATTGTGGCACAGGCTGGCCCCAGTAAAAATGTGAGACTCCACCTAGGGTTGGAGGTGTGAACTGAGTGGATAGTGCCTGCCTAGCAAGGATAAGGCCCTGAGTTCAAACCCCAGTATGGGGTCGGGGGAAGACTTAAGAAAAGTAAGGAATCTGAGGCTCAATTTGGGGAAAGAGAAGTGGAAAGGGGGAAATCACTGTGCTCAAAGATAAACTATTTAGTGATGGGATGAGACACATGTCAAATGTAGACCTCATTAGACTAATCTCTGCAAATCACCAGCTATTTTATACCACGAATCAGAAAGTGTTTTCCTTTGCAGCTTCTTGTTTAATTCTAAAGTCAAACTTTCAAGCATAAAATAGACTAGGATGAACACAACATGAGGATAAAAAAAAGTAAATTAGACAAAGTCACGATATTCAACTAAATAATCAATGCAGTAAAATCTTAAAAGAGTGGTATTCCTAACATTCCTTTTAGAGTCAAAATATTTGAAATTTATTATATTTGTTTTAGATCTATTTCTTATTCATTTGGCTCATTTGATCATTTAAGTGTCCAAAATATTCAGCCAAATTGTTTTCCTTGTACAATTTTCAAAAATACAGTAGGGAGAGAATGACTGAATTGTTAATAGAAATTTCTCTTTTAATAAAAAGGAGATCAAATAGGTCCTTATCAATTTGGATAGCATTTTAAAATATTACGATTTCTTATTTTAAATTCAAGAGCTTCCTAAGTATTTGATATATCTATCAACAGGTTGAAGTAGATAAGAAGTTTTAAGCATTATTTTATAATGTGTCCTTAAATTTAAACCAAGGAAGAGCCATGTACTGAAGGAGAGCAGTACTAGTAAGATTAAAGAGCAGTGAGGGCACGCAGACTCTCAAATTCAGTGGCCCTTCAAATACTCCAAAAGCTGCTGTGTTTGCTCAGGCACTTGACAAAGTGTCTGTTGGAAGTGTAAGGATTTTGATGTAAGAAGTACTATCATTTATATCATTCTGTACCAGACTCACTTCACTACCACTGATGAAGCAAAGGAAATTTATTGAAAGGTACGATCTCTGAGATTTCAAACTGAGTGACAGAAAGGGGGATTCTCCAGTGAGTAGATGACTATAAAGATAGCAAAACTAGTAACTTATCATACATCTTCAATTCTAAGAAATCATCAATTTTAAGATGAATTGTTTTATGTATCTCCAGTAAGAAAAGGTACCACTAGTGGGCCAATCCTTGCAGGTAATAGTTTTTGACATGTTAAAATGTGAAAAAAAACTACATCCTAGAATATGAATTGAACATAAATTATGCTTAGAAATAATTCTTTAACCAACCTACTCATATTATCACCATTACAGTAACTCCTAAGAGCTGAGTGCTTCCAGGAGAGATAATCTATAAAGGCAGAACTCATTCGGGGTAAAAATTGTAAGGAATATTCTAATTGAAGTAACGGATCAAACATCTGGTAGTATAAGAACAGGTGCTGAAAAGCAAGGGGAGTTTTGTGATTTTAATAGTCTGAAGATAACTACCCAGCACAGGAATTGCCAGTGTTTTTTAACATAATCTTTCCCTTTTTATGTTTCATGAATTGAGTTTTATTTATTGCCAGCTATAACCC